CAAGTGCTACACCCGTCCTGGGCTCTAACCACCCTTCTGGCTCCCGGGATCTAGTGAAGAGGGCCAGTCGTACATCATCAGTGGGCGGAAGGTTGGTATTGTTTTATGAAATTTTTGTTTATTATGTAATTTGCAAATTGTGATAAAAATAAATTTCTTACCACAAGCTGCCAAAATAGTTAGAGAGCCACGGTTCTAAGTAATGGCGCTGTTAAGTTTTATCACGAAGAAGTAGAGTCCCTTATTGTGGCACAGTCCAGAAGCCTGGACCTAGGCCTGGGGCTGGGGATGGGGCTGGGCTCAGTCTGGGAGCAGCTCCACTTAAGTGCTCAGCTCGAGGGGTAGCTGGGATAGCCCTCTGGTGGGGGCCCAGGGTCTCATAAGTCAAGGGTACAGGGACAAGAGAGTCCTGGAGACCTGAACCTGAGTGTCTTGAGCCAGGCTGTCCCTACTACTGTGAATGCTGCACGTGCTTGTCTATTCTCCCTTGGTGTTTTACAAAGTCTGAAAATGTCCCCATCTCAGTTCTATGGGCTTGTGCAATTTATATGTGCTGAGGGGCCGGCATGTCTGCCTAGAACTCTGTGGTGGTGGCAGTAGAGCCAAATGCCACGGATGCACTGCTCCACTCAGCTGTACCCTATACCTGTGCGTGTCCTAAGGCTTAGAGACTGTTTCAACAAAGATAGGCAAATCTCTTTAAACATTTACGGAACGCATACATGCCCATGTACACAAGCACACCCTCCACATGCAAACAGAAGCACACACCCTTTACATACTCAGCAATATATATTAATAAAAACACTGCATGTAAGAGTAGAAAGAGGGTAGCAAGGAGCAATGCAGGGTAGATGTGACTGAGTGGAGTGGTAAAAACCCATTTATCAATGCCAAGTCCTATTGTATCTTGGTTTCTGAAAATTGTGGGTCTTATGAATGGACTCTGGGCCTCTGAAGGGATGGGAAAATGAGGATTCCTTAGTCCCCGGCTGCAAAAGAATGAAAATGGTAAAAAGACATCTCTGGCCATCAAGGAAGCACCGTAGACCTAGCTGAGGAGTACAACCTTGAGAACTAGACAGCCCTGGGTTCGAAATCCTGTATCTGCCACATTCTAGTTAGGCCATTAATTGGTCTCTCCGGCCGGCCAGCTTTCCTTATCTGCAAACAGTCCTGATGTCAACTTCCTGTGGTCTGTGCGAAGGGAAACTAAACTCTCTCCAGACAACACCATCTGAAACCTGCTCTGCCTACCTCCGGGGCTTGCTGCACAGATAAAGAGAAATGGGGTGCTTGAGAGCACCTTAATGACCAAGGTTTCATTCGGCCAGCTTTAGCAAACAAGTCTCTTTGGGAACAGCCTGGATGGAGGAGGCCAGACTTTCCTCCCAGTGCCACCCTTCCCCAGGCACCCCCAGCTTCCGATTCCAGGGATAAGCCTCCTGGTCACCTCTCTCCCACCCCATGGACAAAGGCTACACACACAGCAAGTAAGGTTGGCAGAGCCAGCTGAGACTTTATTTTGGAAAAAACACTTGATTTGGCTTTTAGTTAGGGGCGTGGGTAAGAGGCGGTCCTCCAGGCAGTAGATTCCCCACCCAGGGTTGGGGCTGAGAACTGGGGCTGAGCTTCAGGTGGGTCTCCTGTGTTCAAGGCTCTCTGCACAGCTCCTTTCCCACAGGCTTGAAAGGCCAAGAGGGACCACGGTAGCCATTTACTTAGGCAGGACATCAGATGACTCAGATACAAGCTTCCCATCACGAGTCTCGATCTTCTTCACCACCACGGTCTTGGTGGAGCTGGTGCGGCTGAAAGAGCCGGAACTCCCCCCAGAGCCGAAGTTGGACTGGAAGCTGACACCGTAGTTGAGGCCAGGACTTGTGAGGTTTCCATAGGCCGGGCTCAGCCCACCTGGTCAGGGATTGGCAACTACGTTAGCTCAGGAGCCCTGCATACATCAGGCTCCAATGACCCCTTCTCTCTTCACTCCCTACACAGTCTCCAGGGATGGAGAACTGCCCTGGTTCACTACTCCAGGGAATACCAGGAGCAGGGTGGGATAGAGCTTTGACATTAGCTACGTGATCTTGGACAAGATAGTTAATTGGGCCCCAGCTTCCTGAGCTGTACAAGACGGAAATGTATCAGGGTTATAAAAAAAGGCCCTGCCCTCCTGTCCTGCACCCCAGGGCCCGTACACTCACCTGAGTAGCCACTGGTAGTCTTGGTATGGATACTCATGTTCTGCATCCCAGACTCCAGCCTGTACCCAAAAGAGGTAGGATATCAGTACCAACTCCTGGCCCTATCCCAGACACAGGACTCAAGTCCCATCTCTCCCCACCCCAGGTCCCAGGGATGGAGCACCAGGGCCAAAGCCCACCCCCCATACCCACCGGCTCTCCTCGCCCTCCAGCAGTTTGCGGTAGGTGGCGATCTCCACATCCAGGGCCAGCTTGACGTTCATGAGCTCCTGGTACTCGCGCAGCTGCCGGGCCATGTCTTGCTTGGCATTTCTCAAAGCAGCCTCCAACTCAGCCACCTTGGCCTGAGCATCCTTGAGGGCCAGCTCCCCACGCTGCTCGGCATCAGCGATGGCGGCCTCCAGGGAAGCCCTCTGTTGGGGGAGGGGGAGAAGTTAGAATAGAACAGAGTGTGGTTCCCTCATGGCCCTGCACCCACCCTCCCTCCCCACTCCTCTAGAGACTTCCCTCCATGAGCTAGACCAACCAACTCTACCCCAGCTCAAAGACAATGCTACCAATAAGTTCCAGAAGCAAAAGGGGGAAATATGAGCAACTTTCAGGCACTTCCCCACAGAAACTTCTCCCCTAGAACACTAAAAGGTATTATCCCCACTCTAACTGAACTAGATCTCTGCTTTCTAGACTTCCTTAAAGCATCATTCTGACCCTGATATACAAGACGTAAAATAAAACAGGCTTGAGGACCCCATCCCAGACCCCAACCCTACTTGCCAAGCCCCCTCTGACCCCCATCACATCCCCAGGGACCTCCTCAGGAGCCCTCAGCCTCCCAGGAGCGGTCTGAGAAGCTGGACTGTAGCTGCCCCTTCAACTCCCACACACTCTGGTCTAGGATCCCTTCCCCGACCCCCAGACTCCTCACTCCTTCCTTCCTGCATTATCTCCTCTCACTGGGACGTGTCTGAGGATCCTCTCCTACCCCCAGTCCAGACCATACCTGGCCTTTGAGGGCCTCGATTTCAGCCTGGAGTCGGCTGATGTTCCGGTTCATCTCAGAAATCTCTGTCTTTGTGCGACGCAGGTCATCTCCATGCTTCCCAGCCAACGTCTGCAGCTCCTCATACTGCAGATGTGAGATGAGGAGTTAGGCTTGAGAGGTCCCCCTAGAACCCAAGGTGTCCTCCATCCGAGGGAGAGTGCTCTCTCAGCTAAGTCACCAGAGCCCAAGTCATTTCACCCACCCACCCCTACCCTCTTCACACACACACTGAAGGCCTTCTTCCAGAGCACCAAGCCCAGGGACATCTCAATCTCCCAAGCACCCACATAGCAGGCAGAGTGGCATTTGAAATCCTGCTCCCTGCTCATGAACTAGGGTACAGAACTGGCCAGAAGGGGAGGGCCAGTCAAAAGACCCTGCTCTTCACCTTGATCTGGTACATGGTCTCAGCCTCAGCCCGGCTACGGTTGGCGATGTCCTCGTACTGGGCCTTGACCTCGGCGATGATGCCATCTAGGTCCAGGGAGCGGTTGTTGTCCATGGACAGCACCACGGACGTGTCAGAGATCTGGGCCTGCAGCTCACGGATCTCCTACGGTGGAGAGGGGAGGTGGTGAGGCCTGGTCCTTGCACACAAGGAACCTTCTTTTGCAGAGGGCCTTCCTTAGGGGAACAAGTCAAGGAGGGCAGCAACGGAGGAGAGAATCAGGTGGGTATGAGGGCTGCGGAGAGGGCAAAGTTCCTGAGGAAAGAAGATTGGTCAAAGACTCATCTTGGTGGGATGCAAAACTGAAATAAGGCCAGTAAAAAAAAAAAAAGAAAAACACCTAGCTTTGGGTGAGTAGCCAAAGGGTAGGGCCCTTCCATCCTCTCAGCAACAGATACTGAGCGCCCACAGAGGGCTCCCACATATGGCTCAAAAATTCAGAACAGATTCAGGACAGAGAGGGCCCAAGTTGCCCCTGGGTCACCACTCTGTGTATGATGATGTTGGACAGGCTATTTTAATTCTCTGAGTCCATTTTCTCATCTGTGAAATAGGATTATCAACTCTCCCTCATGCAGGGGGACAAAAGACGTAGAATGTCCATGCTGGGTTATTAACATCGATAGCTGTAATTATTCAGTGCTGGGCCCTTGTCTGTTGGTGCACCGGGGGCCAGGAGGAGCCTTTGATGGTGTTAAAGGAACAAGAACATACCTCTTCATACAGCTGCCTATAGAAGTTGATCTCATCGGTTAGCCCTTCCAGGCGAGACTCCAGCTCTACCTTGTTCATGTAAGCTTCATCCACATCCTAGGGAGTGTGGGGAGAGGAGGAGCCTGAGATGAATGCCCACATGGGACCCCAAATCCAGGCACTCAATGGCCTAGACCTAGAAACTTCTAACTATTGCCTTGCCCACCTCACTTTGTAGCCTGATCCTCTAGTGAGGCCTCTGCCCCATCGCACCTGCACATTCCCAGCCCAAATACCTTTACTTGGCTTCCTGCAGCCCTCCTCCCTCTCCCCCCTCTCTTTCCTCTTCCACCTTCTCCTCCCTCTCTTCTTCCTCCAGGAAGCCTTCTATGGCCAGACCTCCAATTCTACTGCTCCATTTTTAACCATGTCCCATTATCAATGTCTAGAGTTCTGTCCAAACACACTGCCTTTACTCTGTGTCCTTGCCTATCTTTCTATGCCGTATAACTAGGAGGCACCCAAATGTTACCAATTATTTCTTAGAAACATTTAGGGACCAAACCCAGAAAGCCTCTTAGTCCAAGTCTCTAAGACCCAGCCTCCAGGTGAGGGTAAAGGACTCCCTCACCTTCTTGATAAGGACAAATTCATTCTCCATCTCTGTGCGCTTGTTGATCTCATCCTCATACCTGGTAAAGAAAAGACTTAGAATCAAAGGATGAAGGCAAAGGGAGGTTGCCCTTGAGTCTTTTAAGGGAGGCAAGAATATCTAGAAAATTCAGTTCATGGAAATGCAAGATATAAGAGGACTGGACTGGTGCTTCTGCTCATCAGCCAGTGAGGAGGCCTGGAGCAGGAAATCTCTCTCCAAATCCATGAATACACATTGGATTAGACATAGTAGACATATTGGAGGGTTAGAACAGGGAGTGACATGAGGATTCAGACAGAACTTTCTGGGTTGTGTTGGAAATCAGGGGTAAGGAATAAAAAGGGGCCAGGGCTGCAATTATATAAGAGGCCTATGGGCTATCTGTCTCTCCCATTTGAGATTTACTACGTACACATTAACGTACAAATTTGTTATCCAAATCTGGACAATTCTGAGATTAAAAGAGGGTGGGTGCTACTAAAAATTATGCCAGCATAAACTAGAGCATAAACTAGACTGTCTTGAGAAAACTTGGTCACATGGTGACCCTAATTATATAAGAATGTATTGCCCGACAAGCAGAGGGCGATGGGGTATGGAGCCTCTAGCTCCCTGAGGTGGGATAGGAAGAGAAGACTTCAGTTGAGCAGATGGTAGTGAGAAGGAGGGCAGCTCACTTATTCTTCAAGTCTTCCACCAGCCCCTGCATGTTGCCACACTCTGCCTCTAGCCTCAGTTTCTCCTGGGCCAGCGTGTCCAGCTGCCGTCGAAGGTTGTTGATGTAGCTCTCAAACATGTTGTCCATGTTGCTGCGAATCGTCTTCTGCTGCTGCAGAAAGTTCCACTTGGTCTCCAGAATCTTGTTTTGCTGCTCCAGGCTCCGTACCTGAATGAGGGAAGACAGAGCAAAAAGGTCTACATCAGGCCAGGGCTCAGTCTGGGGGGAAGCAAGCAGTGTTTTCCACTCCCAAACAGTGGGTCTCTCCAGAACCCAGTAACCTGGTTAGTTATAACCTGAGAGAGACAGCATGGTGAGTGGGCGGGGTAGGGAGCCACATCCTTCTAACTCTAGGGATGGGGACGACACAAGTGTGCATGGTTGGAAGGGGACAGCTAGGAGTCATGCTAAAGCTGTGGTTGCAGAACAAATAGGTCTTCTTGACTTAGGTTAGATATTATAGATCAATAAAAATAGCCAAGTGTTACAAGACCGAAAAATAAAGTGTAGATTGTTCGTAACAAATGCTAACATCATTATCATCATTATTATCTGGAATGGCTTTGAAGAACTCGTACAGTTTAGAGGGAAACATTTGCCCTATGGCCTGAAGACCCAGGTTTTAACCAAACATAGCTGCTAACCTGGGCTGCATAATGTTGGGTTGCTTCACCTCTCAGAGCCTGGGGCTCCTCAGCCCTGCCATGGCCTAGAGGAACTCAGGCAGGTCCTTTCAGGAGCCCCATTTCTGTGCAGACGTCACTTGTGGTCAGGGAAGAGATAAGAGACTAGGGAGATCTATCTGCAGATGGAAGATTTTCTCCTACCCTATCCCCACCCTATTCCACCTGAAACCACAACTCTCTCCGTCCTGCCCCAAACACAAAGGTCCTGGGTTCCTTGGGCTCAAGAAATCCAGATTTTAGGATAAAATTAAGGCATGTTAGAAGGGAAATGTTTAAAAAAGAAATAGACTGCTTTTAAGAAGAATAATTTATTTTTAATAATCAACCCAAAGTTGTATCTTTGTTTTAATTGGGGGGAGGACTTAGAAAAAAATAATTGACTTAAGGGTCCAGCCTAGATCCAACAAATCTTTCTCGGTAAATCCCTTTCTTCCCCAGGTCATTCTGTCCCAAAATTATGAAAATAAGTGATTATAACATTTAGCTTTATTGGGCTGCTTAATACAGGCCAAGCACTGCCAAGCTATTTACCTACATTACATGCTTGAATAGGCAAAACCTCTGATTTAGAGCTGATCGTGCCCATTTTATAGATGAGGAAATCAGATTCGGCAACGGAGCCCATCAAAGGAAAGGGCAGAGCACTGAGAATCATGATTTGGGATTAGGAGCCTGTGCTTTACTACTACTCACGGGGAGGACTCCGGAGCTAGCAGAACGCAGTCAAGCAAAGTCAAGGGTGCTTAGAGCTAAGGAACTACGAAGCCCTCCTCCCAGAACAGGGGAGAGAGGGCTTCCTGGGGGACTCCAATCCCTAAAGGCGCAAATCTGCCCCAGGATTTCCCACCTTCCGTTCCCACAATGCCTCCCAGGAGCCAGTCAGCGGAGAGGGGCCCAATCCTCCTGCATGCTGAGGCCCTCAGGGGCCCCTGCTGACTGGCTCCTGAGTACATCCCCAAGGCTGCAAAACGCGACCTAGTCTCTACTCTGCGAAAGTGGAGCCAGGCCATTGGGACGGAGCCAAGGAGGGAAGAGAGAGAGAGGGGACAAGGGCTGAGTGGGAATAGGGGCGTTGGCGGGCAGACGCATTATCTAAAGCCATGAACTCTAAGGTTTAACAGGACATGAAACCTGGGCGCAGTGTCCAACGCCCTCAGACTTTGAATCCTAAATGCGCTTTTCTGAATTCAGGCCCTGGCGTCCCACCCCATTCCATCACGACGCAGATTGTCCCAACCCGACAGGATAAGAGCTGCCCAGGTAGAGCAGCGCGTCACCCAGACGGCTGGCCTCAGCCCCTCACCCCACGGTTGGGGTGGGTCTCTGGCCCTTCCGGTCCCGCCCACTGCAGGCTCCAGGGCGAGGGCCAAGTATGACTCATCTTGGTGTCCCCCACGCTCCGGCCTTGGGATGCAAGAGGCCTCAGCCTCAGTCGATATTTGCCTGTTTGAATCAAGACCTATCCCAGATCTATCAAGCCTCCATTTAAATAATTTTTTTTAAAAAAAGCCCAGGAGCACCTTTGAGAAGCTGTTGGGGTAGTGCTAAGGGAGAAGGGTGAACCTGAAGGAGGGGCTCGCTTCCCACCCGACAGCAGAACAGCTGGGACTCTTCCAGGCTGAAAGCTTTATCCAAGGTCGGAACTCGGGTTGGGGTGAGATGGATGAGGGAGGGATTTAGAGTCAGAAGCCGCCCAGACCCTCTTTCCATCCCTGCGCCAGCCCAAACCAAAAGTGCATGGGAAGAGTGAGCCATAGGTTGGGAGTATTGCCAGGGTGGGTAGGGCTCAGCAGGATGCCAGTGGGAGGCTGAAGATGTGCCCACCGACGGGGCAACCAAGAGATAGAGCATGGACCCTCGCTGGGCCCCAGGCACAGACAGTTAGGCAGAGGGGACCCTCACCTTGTCGATGAAGTTAGCAAACTTGTTGTTGAGGGTCTTGATCTGCTCCTTCTCCTGGGTGCGCACGGCCTGGATGTTGGGGTCCACCTCCAGCTTCAGGGGGCTCAGCAAGCTCTGGTTCACTTGGACTGCTGTGATGTTCCCCGCACCTCCAGCTCCGCCGTAACCCCCAGCCAGGTTCATGTTGATGCCTAGGCCAGCCCGGTAGCTGCCCACCCGGGAAAAGGCCGAGGAGCTGATACGGGAACCGGGAGCACTCGAGTACGAGCGGCTGCTGAAGGCCCGAGGACCAGAGGTGGACATCTTGTAGGTCTTCTGGGTCACCCTCACGGACATGTTGGAGGCTGGAGTGAAGGCGAGGAGCCGAAACTGACAGACTCTGGAGGAGCCAAAAAGCTGCTTCCAAGTGGGGGACAGCGTGGCCCTTTATAAAAGGGAGCCCAACCCAAAGGGAGGGGGATGGGCCTGGTACCTGAGTGGCTAAGCCTTGAGGGGGCCGGGCCTAACTCGATACCTGCCACCTACAGGCCCAAGTCAGGTGGGGGCAGCAGAGAGCTGCTCCCACCCTGAAGCCCATTAGGGCACCGCCCCAGAAGCCCAGGAAAGAGCAATTCCGTGAATGTGAAAGGGGCAGGATCCAGTGGCTGCACAAGTTCTCTGTAACAAAGAGACTGGGGGTGTCACCCAGCCACTGCAACCCTGACTCCTGGGTCTTGTCTCTTTCTCTCCTATGGGAAGCACAACAAGAAAGAGATCCCTGGTGTTTCCATCTGAGCAGCTGACACCCCAAAGACACCACCCTTCTTCTCTCCATTTTGATTATGAAAGTCTGCCCAGGCTGGAGGACAAGGAACCTGAGTTCTGAATCCTTGAACCAGAAGTCAATCATTTGCCTAGTCTCTCTTCAGTTAGCGTTGTACCCTCAGCATCTAGTGCAGTGCCAAGAGGGGCAGGGTAAATACTTGTGGAATGAATGAATCAGTGAACGAACACACACATACACAGAAGCTATCTTCCCTCTGGGTCTGTAGGTACAGGATAATGTGAGATTCAACACAGCACTTTTCCTGGACACAACCAAGTGCACTCTCTCCTCCCAAGATTTCAGGATTCCCAGGGCCAGGCTGAAAACTGTAGGCCCGCTGAAGGGCAGAGAGAATGAAGAACAAGAGCAAGAGAGGTAGAGGAATGGGGGGAGCTCAGGAGAGAAGAAGCTGCGTTGTGGTCTTCACTGTTCTCACTGCTTCTTGAGGGAGTCCTTCCCCTAGTTCTCAATGGGTGATTTGGGAAGGGAGGCAGGATGGAGTGCAGAGGAGTGGAAGCGGGGGACACTGATCTGCAGCCACCTGGGCCCTCCTTCTCTTCCTAGTTCCCCAACCAGCCTGAGGAGATGCAAGAAGAGTCCCTGCACCTGTCTCCCTGAACCCATTATCGAAATGAGTCAAGAGGGCAGGCTGAGGCACAGCATGCACCTGCAGGTTGGAGACTGGGGAGCTGAACAAGACACCCCAGGCCTGGGTGAGGCTGGGTGGGGCAGACCCAGTGGGTGGAAGGCAGGAGGTTTGTTTGGGTCCCCGAGGCAGAGATTCCAGCTGTAATCACCTGATGGGGCTGGATTCTCTGAAAGATCCTGCGGGGCATGCAGTGGTACTGGATGGCTCTAACTAAAGAGACCAACAGATGCCAGTCACCCAGATACCCTGGGGAAAAGGGAGAGGTTGTCCATAGCCCCAAACCCAGGGAAGAGGCATGACACTGCCCACCTACCCGGAGGGCAGTTATACAGACTCCTCCCCATTCTTCTCTAGAAGAGGCACCCGGGCTCCCAGAAGGACAGACCCCTACAGAGGAACAGAGAGAACCAGAAGCCCCCCCTCCTGGAGAAACATAGACAGGCTTCCCTCAGACTACACACACACACACACACACACACACACACACACACCCCAAACACCCCCTTTGAAGTCCCTTCCAGAAAAACAAATCCAGAGACTTTCAGTGGGGGACACGATGACTACATCCCTTTCTCCCTCCCCTCTTTTCTCCTCCTCACCCTCCCTACCCAGGCTCTGGCCTCCTAATGTGCTCAACCAGTCAAGGGGAAATCCAGTTAGCACCTGTTTGCACCAGGCCCTCTCCCAGCACCTTTAAACAATGCTTAATTTTCCAAAGAGTGATTTGAATGCATGCCACCCCCTCCCCAACAAACACCCACACCTAGCAGAGCAGAGAGACTTCTTCCAGAGACCAAAGGGAGGGGTATGGGCCAGGTGCCAAACCCAGGACAGAGAAAGCAGAAGGAGAGAGGGAGCGGGCCGGTCAGACTGGTATAGCAGCCATGGGGAGAGAAGGCAACCAGCTCCCCAGTTCTTCCCCTCCCCCACAGTGTGTTGGCTGAACCTGGGCAGACTTGGATGGGAGGGACCATACCTGAAGTCCTGAGCACAAAACAGCAACCCAGAGCCCCCCTGAAATGTTAGCCCCTCCACTACCACCCCCCTGGTTCCCTGGTTCCAGCAGTGCCTTGTGTTTAAGACAAAGGAGACTACAAGGGACCCTGTGGTTGTCAAGCTGTAGGGCTTGCCCAGATCCCACCCAGGCGGAAGCCCCTCTTTGCTGGGGCAGCCCAAAACAATTCAGGACTAAAAGTGTCAACATGTCATTTGTCCGCTCCCTATTACCCAGAGACTCCAGCCAACCTATCCTCCATGTCCCAGGCCAGCCTCTAGAGAAGAGGCCAGCACTGCCCTCTCTAATGGCCCTGCCTGAGGTTCCTCAGTGAAGGCAAAAGGGGAAGGCCCCAGGACTAGGGCCAAGTGATGAGGGAAGAGAAAACCGGACTGGGGCAGCCTGCAGGTACAACTACTTGTAAGGCTGTCACTGCCCACTGTGGTCTATGCGCCACACTGCTGCCTGCCCAACAAAAGGGAAAGTGTTTGTGGTGACTGTGCCTCACCCAGAAGACTCTGCCCCAAACTGCCTTTTCTGGAGAATCGAAAGGGGAAGGAAGAGATACTCAGCCATTCCCCCACCCCCAGTGGCAATAGTACAGAATGAGTCAGGGAGTCCTTGAGCCCTGGGCCTCTGTGTCAAGGCTGAGAGCAGAGCTGGGTGGGCAGGGTAGCTGTTATCATTACATCATTCCCAATCATTGGAAAAGATGGTCTGAACAAGTTCTCAGTGCTCAGGACTGATGACACGAAGACACCACATTCACAGCAGCACTATTCGTAACAGCCAAAACAGAAACTCCCCAAACATCCATCATTTGATGAATGGATAAATGAAATGTGGCATATCAATCCAATGCTGTATTATTCACAATAAAAAGGATTGAAGTCCTGATACATGCTACAGTGTGGATGAACCTTGAAAACATTAAGCAAAGTAAAGAAAGTCAGTCACAGAAGGCCACATATTGCATAATTCCATTTACATGAAATGTCCAGAATACGCAAATCTATAGAAACAGAAAACAGATTCATGGCTGCCCAGATTGGAAGGAATGGAGGTGATTGCTAAAGAATAAATAAGGTATGTTTTGGAGTGATGAAAATTTCTAAATTCAATTATAGTGATGATTGCACAAGTCTGTGAAAATGCGAAAAACCATGTCTGTACACTTTAAATGGTTGAATTGTGTGGTATATGAATTACAGCTTAATAAAACTCTTACCAAAAATATATATATATATATATCACAAAAGCATATATTAGTCTCTTACATAAAGCAAGGACTTTGTGAACCAGCATAGGGATCAAGGGATAGAAGAGATTTCATTTAGATACTGAAGTTAAGGAAATTCTCCACCTCTAGGTTAATAACCAGAGTAGTGTCCTCAAAGCACTGAAATCATTTTAAAAGATGGACAATTTAAAATCTTATTGGTGGCATACAATAGCTGAACTTAGCACCAAGCAGTTAGCAAGAACAATTAGTTTAAGTAGGAAACTACAGATGGTGAGAACGCCCATGATAAGCCACAACATGAATAATAAAGTTGATGGTTGGTTTTTATGCTGTGTGCCTCAAGGCCAGCATTATTCACAGTAAATAATCAGTAAGTGGTGATTATTTTTCTTTTAACAGTGGCTCTAATGATTACAGCCAGCCAAATGGGCAGGGACTGCCTAGACAGGCAGCAAGCTCCTATCCCTAGAAGTCTTGAGACTGAGGCACCAGACCAGCTGTTCCCTGGGTTCACTGTTGCAGGATTCCTAGGTCAGGAGGCAGTTGGGACTATAATGTCCAAATCCTCCCCACTCTGAGAGCCTTTGATCCATGTCCCGCCACCATAGAGCTTTACACATAAGATATTAGACATCTACGAAAGTTCTTGGGCTAGAAATTTGGATTTTAATAGGAGATGTGATTAAAAGTTATTAGAACAAGGAACTTCTTACTTGGGGAGGAAAGTGGCAAGATAAGCCTTATTACAGAGGAAAGGAGACATAAGCCTGTGGGGGTGGGGAAGTCCCCTCCCTTCCTCTTTTGTTTCTTCTGGCTGGTTGAATAATTAAAATTACATAAGGCAGATTAACAGGAAAAAACTCAAGCTTTAATACATACACATGGAAAATTCACATAAGCGTGAAAAGACAATAAGGCAAAATGAGGTATACCTGTCATTCTGGACTGAGAGGGAGGCAGGGGTCTGAGACTTCAGAGGAAAAATAGACAATTCACAGGGAGATGAGAAAGAGCAAACGCTTGGTAAACAAATGTTTGGCAGGCCACCCAGAAGCAATGGAATGCAGGAGTCTAACAAACAGACTTCGCTTGATTCCTCCCTGTCTGCCACATTGAGTTCGTATTATGTTATAGTGAGAGCTCCCTTCTTAGAACAGGTTTTTCTTTCTGAATTCCTTTAGGTATGTAAGGAGGAGGTAAAAAGCTCTTCTTGAGTTTGTTGGGCTTTAATTGTCATTGGCTCGAAATAATCCAAACGCCATGGTGGTAAGTTCTAGGGAGACTCGTTCTAAACTCCTACAAGCCCATTGGCCTGGAGATGATGAGGTCTCCCTCCCCGCTTCACATTCTCACACCCTCATCTCCATTGATACCAAACCAGAAGGGGCCATCTATTGATGGCAGTCAAGCCAGGTAGGAGGGATCCAGTTGTGGCTCATCCCTTGGAGACTTTCCCCATAACTCTGGTTCTCTCTCTGGAGCATGTGCATCAAAATCACTCAGACTATATTCCATCTGCATTTTTTGAAAGGTTCCTCCATGCTGCCAGGGTTGAACACCAGGCTTTGGCTCTGGTTCCACCTCCAAGACCTCCAGGAACACACTCTTCCTCTCCTCAAGCCCAAAGCACTGCAGAGTCCCCACTTAGAAAGGACAATATACCTGCCTCTCAGGAAGGAAAACAGAGAGTGGCCAGTCCCCAGAGCCAGGTACATAGACAGAGGCTGAGAAAAGATCAGGTCCCACTCATGGTGGTGAGGACAGCAGTGTGGAGGACCTGAATGATGGGAAGTGGAAGGCAGGACATCACCAGAAAAGGCCACTCAGGGGATGAGTCTCTGGAGGAGCCCTCAGGAAGGAGTCACGCAGCCCACTGCACCCCACCCCAGCTCCACTGCAGGAAAAAAATGCTTTCCTAAAGGTGTGTTCAGGTAACCAGACAGGAAGGAGTACAAGAGGGAGGAAAGAAAGGAAAGGACTTGGGGACCAGCCACAGCAGCTGCCCCCACCCTTACCCTGTCCCGCATCCTCCAGCTCCAAGCCTAGGCCCTTGGCAATGGAGCCATTGTCCAGAGGTCTATTGTTCTGAATTTCCTGCTGGGCACCCCAAAGACCAAGATAGGAAGGGGGGCAGGGACTCGAGGCCTTTATTCCCTCCTGTTTTTATTCATTCATTCATCTACTCATTTGCTTATCAGATATTAGCCTAAAATTTTTGAGGAGAGAGCTGTTTGGTTCCTTTTCCACCAGTTAGGTATAAGTGAGATCCTCCTTTGGCCAGAGAAAGATGTATCTTGAAGGTTCCTATCAAAAAGTGACCATTAGGAGTCCTTAGTTATTAATTAAGCATATTGGTAGCTGACTATATATGGGCACATGCTGGGAAGGCTCTGAGAGAACTGGGTCCTTAATGGTCTTCGCTGTATGTTGGAGGAGACAGACGGACACACAATGCCACTTATTCTAACATTATAATAATTATACTTAAGTGGCACGAAAACGACTTACGAATATTCATTCATTTAATCTTTATAAGAACCCTATAAAGTAGGTGCCGTAATCACCATTTTTACCAGGAGAGGTTAAGTATCATGCCCAAGGTCACACAGCAGTGGCTCTTTCTCCATGTCCTTAACCACTGTACCATACTTCTAGTTATAATGATGGGGAGCAAGAAAAGTGGGGTGGTGGTTTAACAGCCCAGAGGCTGTCCTCAGATCAGCAAACTGGCATTAGCAGGGGCAGGGCCTGAGAAAGGGGACTGAGGACAGCACACTTTGATGGGCGGAGGAGCAGCGTCAGCACTGGGCCCAAGGATCCCTCAAGGCATGGGAGAACTGGTGGCATAGTGAAAGGTATGCCGAGGGGAGCTCCCTTACCTCCACATTGCATAAAGGTGGTCTTGTTTGGGATGAAAACTTCTGAGTCTCCATTTTTTAGCCCCCTCCCTCCAGCCACAATTCTTCAGAGAAATCTATGGCTCTGCTTATAAAAGGGACCCCTTTATGGCCTGGAAAACATTCCCCAAACACCCCCTAAAAACTCATAATGCGTGGAGCTGAACAAAAACCTTTGAATGCTCTGTACCCCGTACTTGCCAAGGAGCCCCAGGTTAGGGCCCACTCTCATACACCCCAGATGCCCACCCCAGCCCCTGGGTAAAGAGAAGGGCCCCTTTCTTGTTTTCCCAATACACAAAACAGTGATTCTTCCATACCTGGAACAGAAGAGAAAGTCGCACAACGTGTAGGGGGCGTGAAAAGTCATGAGCAAGGCACAGTCATCTGAGAGGTGTTCTCCTGGTCTCCATATCTCACTTCACCCAAGGATATGGCCAAACTTAGGGCATTCTCAACCTTTTCCACCATGATAGGTCATGGCCTACATGAAATAAGCATTTGTGTATGGCAGGCTGGGACAAATAAAAGGCTTTTTTGGGGACCAGATGTGGTCAGGCCAGAAGCTACGGCTGCCCCAGGCCTCACTCAGACACTCAGAGGGTTGATAGGCCCAATATATTGCACAGTTAGTTATAGCCCACTCTTGGCACAGCCAAAGTCACCAGGAACCCTGGCTGGGAAGCTCTGGTGTGGGGAGACCAGGCTGTTTTGGACCGATAAGGAATGAGATGAAAACAGATAAAGCCCAGCCTGCCTTGGAGAAGATCAAGGGCATCCATCAGAGCTGGAAGCCATAAACTCCCAGGTATTCTACCCAGCCATAAATACTAGGCTGAGGTTAATCCCCCACCATAAAAATAGGTAGGGAGGAGGCAAGAGAACTAAAATGTGAAATCAAGCTATATTCAGAGACTGCAATAATATACTGATCAGCCCTACAGCCAGACCAGGAGGAAACCTGCAGAACAAAGGAAGATTTCTGTTGGCATTGCTAACAAAGCATTTCTCCACAAGGCGAACAGAAAACAGGAAAAAGAGTCCTTAAGTGGCACCCTACACAAAATAAAATTCTTCATTCCCTATGGCTAAAATCATGGGGAACCTCTGGATCAAAGGCTGGGAATTACCAGCAGGCCTTTATGCTGCTTATTCTTACCTTCTCTCTACATACTCTTATCCTTTCACACTGTATGTCCATACCATCAAAGGAAAATGAGTAAACAAAGTTTTTAAACTCTAATTCACAGAAACTAAAGAATGATATATAAACTGAATTCCCTGAACTCTCTGAGTCTCTCTCAGAGTCTTTCCTCTGTCCCTCTCAGTAGAAGATAATGATGATAAGCTGGTGTTTTATGATCAGCCCCTGCCCTCAAGACAAGCAAGAGCCAAGTGCTCTGCCCAAACAAATAACTCTTCACATGCCCATCCCACCTGTGCCCACACAACCTCAGCCTATGCCACGTGTCCTCTCAGCCCCCAGATGCACCCTCACAGATAGTCAGTCACTTTCTCTCTCTCTCTCTCTCTCTCTGCCTCTCTCTCTTTCTCTCTCTCTCATCATCCTCACATGAATACGTACCACCTCTCACCTCTCCCACCCATCACAGCCATATACACACCACTCTTCAATGCACATCACACACGCCCCCGTGCATACACAGCCATAACATTCGAGACCAACACACAGATACACATTATTGCTTGGGACTCTTGATTGCAAATGACTGAGACCCAACTCAAACAGGCTGAAGCACAAAAGATAATTAATTGCTCACATAGTTAGAAAGCATTGGGTTTTTAGCATAGCCAGATGAGGAGCTCAGTGATGGTACCAAGACCATCTTGACTCTGTTTTCCTCTGAGTTAGCTACCTTCTCAGGCATAGAACCTCTATGCTGCAGCAAATGCCTCTTTCCCAACCCTTCACACTAAAGTTCCAAGGCTCAGTCTCATTAGACTAACAGGCCATATGCTCACCCCAGAACAAATCACTGTGGCCAGGGGATTAGAATACTATAATTTTGACTAGACTGGATCATGTGCCTGGCCCCTGGCAAGAGGTGGTCAGCCCACCCAAACTATATAGAAGGGAGCAAAAAAAGGTGATTTACCAAAAGAAGAGAAAGAGATGTTGGACAGGTGAAAACAACAGATGTTCACTACCTACACTGACCTGAATGTACACAAAGAAGATATGGAAATCTTGAGGGCTGCAGGGGTATAAAGATATCAGTGTACATACTGAGCCCTTGCATAAATATAAGTACTGACCAAAGTCCACCTTCTGTACCTTATCAACGAAATATAGATTTCAGATAAATGAGTGATTCAGACATATGCTATAGGACTTCAGAGGAAAAAGTTGTTTAAATGGGTTCGGGCTTGATCGAGCTGAGCTTAGAAAAGAAGTAAGATATGGATAGAAAGATCCAGAAATGCAATGAGCCATTGACCAGGAACAGGTTCCTAAGGCCAGACAGAGTTTATCCTGTAGGTCACAGGGGCCAGTGAAAGTGTGGGGCAGGAGAGTGACATGGTTAAAGTAGTGTTTTGGGAAGATTAAGTAGACTGAGATATGCAAGTTAGAAGGTAGGGGCAAAAACTGAAGGCAGGAGACTAGACAAGGGGCTATTTCAGAATGCAATTTAGGAGGCATGTGGTGTGGTAGGAGCAGTAGGATGGACATACAGGGATGGAATAGAACACAACGGATGTTGTGAGGAAAAACCAAAGGATGTGGCATGGCTGAGTCCAAGGTTAAGAGAATCAAGAAGGTGATTCAGATGCACTTCTGGTAACTCCCTACTGAACCGTAGTGCCTTCTACTTCAGCCAAACTAGTGCACGCATTTACCATGAGCCGCTGAATCCAGCCATGCCATCATGTTCATCTCATCATTGTCAGACCACAGCTCCTGGCAGACAGGATTGGGTCCTCTAGTGTCAGTGTCTTGTTCCTATCTCTGTGACAGTGTCTATCTGACAAGGCTCCTGCCCACAGTAGAGGCCTCAGAGTGAATATGCAGACCCCCCCGCCGCCGAATATACGATTTACACTTGCCTCCTTACCTTTGTTTATCACACACGCATGCACACACGCACATATGCCTTCACTTCACTAGCAGCATGATGAGGCCACCATAAACCCTCCATGGTACTCGGCAGTAGATGCAAATGTGAGCAGGCATATTCTCTCCCTTCTGACCATGCCATGCCTGTAGAACAGTGTTAGGATCTTGTCTGACTCTTAGGAGGCACTTGGACAAATGGGAGCCGATGCAAGATGTCTGAGATGGGAGATAGGGAACCATGTACCACAGAGACACTGCTATAGGACCTGGGAGTGCAAGCCCTGGAGAAAAAGAGGAGGCACGGACTGCCAGGAGGAAGAAGGGACATTCATCTACGTGGCCCAAGGGATATAACTAGAATGAGTGGAAGAAGCCCCCAGAGAGACTTCTTCCACAGAGTTCCCAAACTAAGCTTTGAGAACGTGGACTCTGCGGTGTGTTCTGGGAAGTTGTGGTTTCCCCTCCATAAAGAAAGGTTCAAGCAGAAGGTCAAGGGCACCGGAGCATCGATGGATTGTGGGAGCTCCAGAAACATGTCCTGAGGGCCTATCACGTGTGCTACACACCTCATTCAGACTCATAAAGACCTTGCCAGGCAGGGGTGGGAATGTGCCCAGGTTCACAGAGATGTGAAGGGAAGAACTGGAATCCAAGGACTCCTCACTGGTGGACTGAAAGTCAAAGGAGAGTGAATGCGGTCAAAGGAATTCTGGAGCCACTTCTTTACTGGTCAAATTACTTAACCTCTCTGAAGTTCCTCTTCCTCACCTAAAAATGCAGGTAATAATTACCTAAAAGGACTGATATGAACATGAGATAAGGGGACAGTGCCTGATCAGTAGATTTTCAGTCAATTTTAGCTTGACTCTCACCATCCCTCCCTGGCCTTCCTCCTGCCTTTCCTAAAGCCTGTCCCTGTGCAGCTTACCCCACCCCTTCACTGTCTTCAAGACCACCACCCCCACCATGGAACTTGTGTTTGCACCAGCTTTGACACATTTGCCTTGTGAGAGTTAAGTCCTGGTGTTCTCCTTGAAGGATGGGACAGTGTCTCATGCATCTTTGTGTTCTCTGCAGTGTCTGCCTAGCCTAAGGCAGGTGCCCAGGTGGGAGAGAGGGCTGGCTCAGAAAGGTTGAGGTTAACTAGAGGGAGGTGGCAATTGGGGCTATAAGGAGGCATCTATAGGAGAGTAATAAAGGATAGCATGCAAAAATCTGCCTCCATGTAAGGCAGAAGCTTGCAAATCCAATTCCTAGGGAGCCAGTCATGCAAACTGAGCCTTGCCTATTGACACCATCTTCCTTTCCCCAACTTTCAGCCCAAGTCTCCTTTCCTTGCTGACCCTGGTGGTGGTGGTGGTGGTGGTGGTGGTGGGAAATGATGGTGATAATGATGCAGCTCTTATTTATTGGATTCCCACTGTGTCAGAGTGTCAGATCTCTTATATATATTATTGATAATCTTAAAATAATTCATGAGAAAGACAACATTATCCTCATTTTACAGATGAGGAAAATAAAAGTCCTTCAAGATCTCAAGTCTGGGGTAAGTACAAAGTCTGAGCATGCTCTTTCCAGTAATGTTCTCTTATAGTGGGTGTCCAATTATCTCCATCAAGGGAAGCAGAAATGTGGATAACCCAGAAGAAATGATTCTAAAACTTTTTTCTTATTTAGCAATATATATATATATATATATATAATATTCACTTAATTCATATTTGTGGAACACCTAAATTACTTCTCTGGCTTTAGGGATTTAGACAGACTTCGGGAAACCTCTCCCCACCAAAAAGAAAGCTCCATAAAGGCAGGAACCCTGACTGTCTTGTTAACTACCATATCTACAGTGTTTGAAGGTGCCTAACAGGCACTCCACTCCATCATACATGAGGAATGAATTCACAAATCATTGACTCAGACTGTACCATCATGTGTGTGTGTGTGTGTGTGTGTGTGTGTGTGTGTGTAACAGAGAAAATAAGAGAGCGAGAGAGCAGCTCAGGTCAAGGAAAGCCCTGCTACCTTCCACTCAATTACCAACCTCCCTCTTGGATTCCGTGGTCTCTCAAGGGCTAAGATAACCCCAAAGTGGGACACAGTTCTTATGGCTAATCTTCTGACCTGGAAGGTGAAAATGGACTGGGCCTGGGCCAGCCAAGGCCAGTTTAGCCTCAGGGAAGTGTCAGGTAAGCTCCCATGGCAACACAATTCAGTGTGTGTTTATACATTTCCAGCAGAATTCCAGGCTAAGGCCATCTATTCCCCGAGGCGGCACCAGCCCTTCTTCCTTGTCTCTCCAGGTGACCATCTTAGGAAGCCAAGAGAAGCGCAAGCAGCAAAAGAAGCCTTCAAAACATGGAAGGCAGAGGAGTGAAAGCCCCACCAGGGAGAGGGCCCTTTCCCTCCTAGACCAGAACTTCTGGCTCACAAGTGTCAAGTTGTAGAAATCGAACACCCTGGGCTTCCTCCTAGACCCCTGGGCCCATGGCTCCCAGGTCCAGCCCACTAACCCTCCACCCACAACTGCCCCTCCTCACACATGGCCTAACCCTGCTCCACTTGGCAGACAGCTCCTAAGCAGACTCTTTCTTCACCTATACAGTTCACCAGTCCAGGGATCCTCCTCCTCACTCTCTGTCCGTCCAGCCCGAACACCTTCTTCAGGGAGCCCTCCCAGACTTCTCCCTTCAGCTTTCCAGTGTGGACTCTGATTAGGCATCCCCAGCTCTGACCTGGTCTCCCAGAGTTGGGCATGGGTCCAGACACCCCTAATGGCCTAGGAGTTACCTTAAGGAGGGAATGACAACTTTTAATCCCTACAGAAACTATGAAATAAGCATTATCTCCATTTTAGAGGTGAGGAAACAGCCTTAAGATTAAGAATAGCTTGTGCTCTAGCAGTTAGCAAATGGGAGAGGCAGAGCTGGACCCTGTCTGCCTTCAACGCCATGCCTCACCTCCCTGCCTTACGCCTTCCTCTAGCCTAGTCCTCCAAGACAGTACTATATGCCAGGCACTTCCTGTACCATAGACTTTTTATAACCCCATTTAATCCTCACAATTAAACTATAAGTAAAGTACAAATAGCCTCATTACAGATTGAGATACAGAAGCTCAGAAACTTTCAATATATTTCCTAAGGTTATAGAGCACGCGAGTGCCAGGATCAGAATTTAATCCAACTCTTTTAGTTTCTTAGGTTTCCCAAGCCCCTGAGTTTAGCCAGAAACAGGGTGAGAGATACAAGAGTGAGGAATGCAGACTCTCCAGGCCAACATGAAGGCTTTGACTCTGATCAGCCAGCAATTCTGATAAAGGAGGATGCCTTCCAGAAGGCTGGCAGAAGTTGCCCCGCTGATCTGGGAGGCCTAGGAATCCCAGGACAGCTGGGTGCTGGCTGGCTCAGTTGCCGACATCCCACCCTTCCCACTCATCCTGTGAGCTGACACGACCTCAAGTCCTTTCACTTCTGCAAATTCCTCCACTACCTCCAAAGTACTCTAGGATTTGTGATGAAAATGAAATGAAATGAAAATTAATTTTCATCTCGAGAATTGTTCTAGACAATTCTTGAAACAATGTGAGATAGCGAGAAAACATAAATTTGGAAATCAAATAACCTGTGTTTTAGTCTCAACTCAGTTTCTAACTTGCTATGTGACCTTGGACAAGTCACTTCCTCCTCTCTAAGCTACAGTTGTCTTATCTGCCTAATGAAGGAGAAGTACCATTTATTTCTAAAGTTCCTTGAAATTATGTTTGATTATTAATTGCATTTAAATTAATTTGGTTTTTTAGAATTTCAAACTTCTCACAGTGATTAAGATGTAGTGGGGAACACATTAAACTTGAAATCATACTTGATTTGGGCTCTCGGCTTTTAGTCTCGCATATATAAAATAAATTACATGATGATAATGTTTATAAGATTTTTGATGC